GTTTTGAATTTTGGCTGATTTTAATTTATCAGGAAATATACTTAGGTCGTTAGGAAAGTTCGTAGAATTCCCCTATAAAAAAAAAAAAAAAAAGAGTTTTTTTTATTTTTATTTTATTAAATGTTCAAAATAATGTTCATTATTATCTATACAAAGTTACATCCTTTCAAGCCTTTTGTTTTTTTTATACTCTTCTTTGGGTATAATTTTAAGTAGCTTCATTATGCGGGTTTTTTGACTTTCGACGTCAGTAAGATTTTTTTTTATCAAATTGAATAGTCAATAATCGGATGAAGCTAAGTCTGGTGAGTATGATGGATGATAAATTATTGTAATTCCAGCTTGGTTTAGACAATTTGTGACGGTTTGAGTTACAAGGGGTCGATTGTAATCATAAAAAATTTGAAATTGTGAGTGCCTGTTTTTGGTCTTTGCTTATTTATTTTGCATATAAGAGGTTTCAAACAATTTTTTATATAATATTTGCTAGTAATGGTGTCTCTCTTTTCAACATAACCCAAATGAACAACACCTGTTGTTTTGAAGAAGATGCAGAACATGTTTTTCGCCTAAAATTTATCGCATCTTACTATAGTTTATGGACTTTCACCTTCACCGACCCAACTAGCGTTAGCTAACTTGTGTCTAACTTGTCTCAAATAAAACCACGACTCATCCCCTGTAACAATATCACATAGCCTCCATGGGCCATTTCTAAAAAGGACTAAAATTTCCATACATGTCTCAACTCTATTGTTTCGATTTTGATCGGTTAATTCATGGGGTATCCAACGAGATATCAGTTTTCTTTTTTTACGTGCGTTGTGAATGATTTTGTTGATTGTAAAACGATCAATCGATGTCAGAGCTTCAATTATATCATGTGTTGCATGCAGATTTTCTTCAATAATGGCTCGCAAACGTTCATTATTCTCAGCTGTATACGTGATTTGAAAGTACCATGAGCGAGGATCATCTTTAAGACTCTCTCTACCATCTTTAAATAAAGTAGCCCATTTGGCAGCTGTACTATATTTTGGACCTTGGTCACCATGAACTAAAACCAATTCATCGGTTATGGCTTGTGGTGAAACTCCAAATAGAGCACGGATTTTTAAATATATTCGATATTCAAGTTTTTCCATTTTTTAATTTTTTCTAATAAATATATAATAAAATTTAAATAAATTTTTAATAAACATTCAAAATATTTAAACAAATACTTAAAACGTTTATAATTAAACACAGTTCAAGATGATATATAAATATTTAATTATTTCCTGTCTTATTGTAACTTTATAGATGAAGCTCTACGAACTTCTCTAACAACCTAAGTACTATTCTCAAATGAAAATACTATTAAATAAAATAATGATTTACTTATACTATCCATAACATAGCTAAATTACTGAAACTTACTTCAAAGACAAATTACAAATCCCTGACGGGACAATAACAAATAGTTTAGCAAGGAAAAAAATAAATTGTACACCTATCGAAAACCGCAGGGGTAAATTGGCTCCACAAAATAAAAGTGATGAAAACACCAAATATTTTCAAAGATTTAATTGCTTATTTCAAACCTACCAATCCCACTATAACCTAAAGGAAAACCAGTATAAAAATTATTTGCCTCCAACTTTACGAATGTCGACGATTTATGAGAAATATGTTTGCAACTGCAATGAAAATGATCGCACCGCACTTTCAATTTTTGTATTCCGACACATATTCAATACAAATTTTAATTAACATTTTTACCATCCGCAATTAGATACATGTTTAAAATGTGATCTATTTAACAATAAATTATCTTTCAGAGGGTGAAGAATAGAACACTGTTAGTTATTATTTATTTTTTGTGAGTTTTCTACCCCAATGGTAGAAAATTCACAAAAGAAAAGCTAAGTAATCTTTTTGAGCTATTTCAATTTATACCGCCTGCACATCATCCCTATTATCATGCTCTTAAAGGTGACAAGGAGGCAACTGATTTTGGTCTAACTGATGATTCTGGTGACTGGGACATAGGTTAGTGCGTCTTAGATATATAAAAAAAATTATTAACAAGTCATAGACAAAACATCCGTTTAGCCTAATCGATTCTAATAATATTATTTATAAAATTTGAAAAGATTTAACTTTTTTGTTATTGCAGAACAGAATTTGCAAAACAGAACAAAATATTGCAGAACAAAATATTGCAAAACAGAACAAAAGAATTTAGTGTCCTAATTTTTTAGTAGACCAGTGCATTTTTTGACCTGCCTTTGCAATAAATGCTACTCTTCTGATAACGATACTTTTTTCCTATTATTTTTAAAAAGATCTATAAAGTTTTTTCCAGTTTACTAATAATGTAACAATTGTGGCTTACTTTTCCGCTGAGCCCTCAAATATTATAAACGAATTGATACTTTTGTAAGCAACAAAAACATATAATTTGAGTTGCAACACTAATATACTGTTTTATACATCAAATTAAACATTTTGAAGTTTAGAATTTCAAACTCATATTTAGCTTGTGTTTTTTAAATAAACAATGCCTTAGTTATTCCTTTACAATTAATGATAACTTTACTATATAACTTATAATTTTCTAAAATATATAATTTATAAAAATCTATGTTTCAACTGTATATAGACAAAATGACCTAATCTATAGAAACAGTTGAAAACTTCAATTGGGCCGCAAAAAGTTTTTAAATAGCCAAACACAGCTCATTGGTAGCAAGTTAGGCATGTCTGATTAAAACTATACTTAATCTTGTATAGTAACTTAAAATGTTTGTATTTTAAGGTATTAAACTAAATAAAGATTTATAGTTAAGTAGTTAATATAGATACTTGCGGCTTTAGTGAAAATTAAGATCAAAAATTACTAAAAAATCAATATTAGCTAGGGTGGAGTGAAAATAACATATTTCAAAAATACAACTTTTCTCCCTGATTTTTATATTAGCTACAAGAAAACTAAAAAAACGAGACCAAAATGAGCAAAATGGAACAAGAATTACCCCCTGCAGCAATTTTTAACTAATGCTTTTAAAATTTTAAAGCGCAAATTTACATTAAAAATTATTTTTTTAAGTAGAAGATACAAAGTAAAAACATATTAGGTATGTTTCAGTTATCCACTAGTATTATAACCAAATTAATCACTTTTGTATTAAAAAGCTATGGAATACACTTTTCTAGAAGAATTAAAAACAGCTATGGAGCACACTTTTCTGGAAGAACAAAGGATTGAACGTAAAATGAGTATTGGATCAATTGACAAAGAAGTTAAAGCAAAACTGCAGAATACCCATAGCAAACAGAGCTCAAACCTTAATGATGCAGACCCACTAGATTCAATTGTTTTTTCCACATCCAGTACATTAAAATGGCCTGCTATAAATACTCCATCATCATCATCATCATCATCATCATCAAAGCAAATGTCCCTCCCTTTTCTTTTATTAGTCTGCGACCGCCATGGACTCTCAGACAGATCTGCTGCAGCTTTGGCATAAGCTGTACTTGAAGATTTTGGCATTATTTCAAATGATGACAAAAAATATGTTATTGACCGGAGCAAGATAAGACGTGAGCGCATGAAAGCAAGAGATAACTTAAAAGTTAGTGAAGTCAAAGTAAAGACGTTGTACTTTAATGGCAAAAAAAAACCAGACTTAAATTTTTAAATAAAAAGGAAACCATAGTGATGGAAAAGCACATATCCTTGATTTAGGAACCAATAGGGAGCTTTTTGGAGCACTGCACTCCTCTTAACGGAACAGCTGACGCTATAAAATCTCAAATTTTAAAGTACTCTAAAAAAACTATCATTTTGGATGATTTAGTGCTTGGCTGTGATAAAACAAATGTAAACACTGGAAATAAGGGTAGTGTGATTAGATTGAGGTCAACGGCCTCTACAATGGGTAATTTATTTGTTACATGCAAATGAGTTATCTACAACTCCAACGGCCTCTACAATGGGTAATTTATTTATTACATGCAAATGAGCTATCACTACGTCATTTATTTTCAGAATTGGATGGACCAACATTTAGTCCTAGATACTATTCAGGTTCTATTGGAAAGTCCCTTGAAACTTGTGAAACCTTAAAGGTTATTGATTTTCAACCTATAAATCATATTGTAGAAATGCCAGAGGTGGACAGAAAAGATCAATTCCGCTCATCGGCGTTAACATGAATTTAGTTAAAATCTTTTGAAAAAGTTTCTTTATTTACTACAGATCCTAGTTCTAACCGGTTCTGACGTATATTAACTATATATAGTTGTCAAAATACGATATTTCTATCAATTTTCTCAAAAATAATAGACGATCAGAACAGATAATATAGTTGAGAACAGCAAATCAAGTTAATTAACAACAAAATTGAAATTTCCAACTACAAAAAAGATAATAAACTTTCAATGGTGTGACAGATGCCTAATAATGGATGCTAAAGTTCAACTATGTTTGAAATGCACTTTTTAACCTTGCAAAAAATCTAATAGACGATCAGAACAGATCATATTGTTAAACTATAAAGTTCATTTTACCAAAAAAAACGTATTTATTTGAAATCCTATTCAAATTTGGACAAGCGATTGGGATTTTAAAAAGATTTTTTCGTTTTATTTTTTTAACATTTATTAAAGATATTAAAAGAAGTTCTTTACTTTTAGAGAAACCTTTCTTTAAAACTACTTAACAAGCAGGAGAAATGTTGAATAAATAAGGCAAAGTTGGACATTATTTTTTCTAAGGCTCGTTCTAAGCAGCATAAGTAGAATAATGTGAATAATATAAATTTAAACAAAAAAAAAAAAATCGAATTGGAGTTGACCACCTGAATGCTATCAAATAAACGTCGAAAAAACTCATTTTAAAAATGAGTCTTATATTACCCACTGGAAAAGAGGAAGGTAATTATTTTTTTCGATCTTTTTTCCAAGACGTTCAAGTTCAAAAAGCATCTTTTTTGCAGTGGAACAACGTTAAATTTAAAAAAATTCGACTATTTCCTATTAATAGAATCGATTACATGAGATATTGGGCAGATATTAAATTAAGAATATAATGACGTTTATTCTTTTTTATTTTTTAATGACGGAGATTTTTCTAGGCCATTTTCATGCTTTTTCTTCTTCTTTTCTTGCTTTCCATCCGATTTTGGTTTCTTTTGAGGAGTTCTTTCACGGTAGCGGCGTACTTGAAACGTTATAAAGTTCCAAGCCATCCAAGCTTGAATTAAAACTATTGCGGCTAACCATCCAACACTATTAACAAACAACATATATATATATATATATATATATATATATATATATATATATATATATATATATATATATATATATATATATATATATATATATATATATATATATATATACATACATAAATATAAGCATACATACATATTCTTCTTTCACTGCAACATTGAGATTAAACTCAATATTGCAGTAAAAGAGGAATATAAACAAATTTAAAAAAAAATTATCTGCCATATATTTAAAAAACTATTTTTAAACTTGTTGAAATAAAATTTAGAACTGAAAAAAATAAAATAACAAAATAACTTTACCGTAAAGTTTGAGTGTTAAAATTCCCATGGGCAATATCGACATTAGGCACGTTATACTTTGATAAGCCAAACCTATAAATAAATTACTTAATTAGAAACCTGTATATTGTTAAGTAAAAATAATTATAGATCTTGAATAAAAGTAAAATTATAATCAGAAAAAAATTTAAAGATATTATACTAACATAAGTAATACAGGAAACAAAGCAAAATATAAACAAGATTACTTATAAAATATCATAAAACATTAAACATTAAAAATAAGCCATACCCAATAATAAATACTGCCAGACTAATGGTGGCAACTCTAGCCAATACAAAACTCACCGCCCAAAAAACAAAACTAAAAATAAATAAATTTATATATTACTATTTTTATAACTACTTTATGCACTACTATATTTATTATATTTTGAATAGAATCGACGTAGAAAAATCAACTGTGCGATTCAAATATTTTCTCGCAAAAATAAAATAAAAACAATGGAAAAAATAAGAAGAATTTAGACACAAATAAGAATTTAGGCAAAAAACTACATTTCAATATTTGGTTGGGCCACCCTTTGCCAGAATATTTGCTGGCAGTCACCAAGGCATCAATTCCACTAAAGATTGTGTTTCTTCTAGAGTTATTTTCTCCCATGCTTCGAATATGGCTGCTTTTAGATCATTTTGTCTTCTGTAAGCACGATCTCTAATTTTTCGGTCTAGAATGTACCACCAATATTCAACGAGATTAAGGTTGGGAGACTGGACAGGCCATTCCATCACATTAATATCATTCTTTCAAAAATAGTCTTTTGTTGCTATGGCAGTATGTTTCGGGTCACTGTCCTGTTGAAACACGAAATCATTTCAGAATTTACAAGCAGAGGGCTTATATATACGAATTGGTATATATAATTCATATATAGAGTCCTCTGTATTATTGGTATATATAATACAGAGGGCTCTATATACGAATTGGCTTTCATAGTTGATTCAATTAAAGTCAATTTGCCAGCTCCTTGCCACAAAACTGATCTCCACACTACAACATTTTTATCACTGTGTTTTACTGTTCCTCTCATGCAACTTAATTTGTATGCCTCGCCTTGTTTTTGCCAAACTTTTTGCTGCCCATCCGATGAGATCAGGTTAAATTTGGATTCACTTGTTGTTTCTTTTGAGCAGTTTTGAGTAGTTTCAAATCTGTTCTGATTGACTTGTAAAATAATGTTTCAACCAATCGCAGCAGATGTTTTAAAATTTTGAACCATATGCTACCAATGAGTAACTCTTACTGTTTTTTGGGGTCCTTTAAGGAAAAAACTTCGCTTAACTAGGACTTTTATTTTGAATTGCATATAATAACAAAACTTTTAATACTTCAATAAAAATTCCAAACTTTGAAAGCTCGAAAATAAAATACCTTTGCATCAAATATCGGTTAACAAACTAAACATTTTTACTGATATCGTCTAAATTTTATTTATCAAAAATACTGAAGGTTGCTAAAAGAAAGCTAACAAGTAGAATTATAACATAAAAATACACAATTCTATAAAATCAACAAAGGAGATTCATGTCAAAAGAAATAATATATTCAGAGTGAGGATGCGAGTATCCCTAAATGAGGATTTGGATAAACATGTTAAATGTGGCTTTTAAACACCTGACACCAAAACATTCCTATGCCATTCTGTGTCAATAAGTCTCTAAATCTTGATAAGTCACTAAGTCGGACAAAATATAAATACCCTTTCAGATTCCGAGTTAACGGGATTTGAATGTACATATATATTTTATATGTCACATATGTAAATATCTTATGTGTTACATATGTAACTATAATTTTAGATATAAACTTACCAAAATATTACTTTTTTCAAAAAACTTCCAAAAAATGCTAAATAAAATTAAATAAATTAAAACAATAATCCTTTGGTAAAATCATGCAAACATATACAAAAATCTTCATAACAGTAGTACTTTTTGATGTTTATTAAAATTTTTTTTAACAAGTTTTGGAAAATATGAGTAAACGGATAAGTTAAAATGAAAAAACTTTTAAAAACTTTGCTTGTGCCATTTATTTTTTTCGCCTGCAAAATATAGTAAATATAGTATATATATATATATATATATATATATATATATATATATATATATATATATATATATATATATATATATATATATATATATATATATATATATATATCAACTGTTGGAATTAGGAAAAATTAAACTTCCTGATGGCGACCTCAATCTTTTAGAGGTCGCCATCAGGTTGGCAAAAATTATTTGATACAAAGGTCTGACCATAAAACATAGAAACGAGGTCGGCAATATTTTGCCAACCTCAAACACTTTCAGGTTGGCATTTGGCAATGCCAACCTTAATTCCAAGGGTTTATATATATATATATATATATATATATATATATATATATATATATATATATATATATATATATATATATATATATATAAAATATATTACATATATAAAAAAAATATTTTATATATTATATGTATAAATGTATTATATATATATAATATATATTATATAAATTTAGCTATGTGCCTGAAGTGAAGCAGGATGCAGCTGGATGTCATTCTGTCATCTTATTATAAAATACAAAGCATCTTGTCACTATTTTATATATCTCTTAATATCCATAACCTCTGGAAATACTGCGTTTAACCTGTTTCTCTAGGCAGCATAATGTAGGGGCCACCTATGGAGCTACAAGGGGAGGAGTGAATTTAAAAAATGCATATATAGATATAAAATAACAATAATAACAAATTAAAAACTCACTTACCCATGTTGAGAAATGTCAGTTTTACCAGCACAATGAATTATTCGAGTCAGGTCAAAAAGTGCTTCAGGAACATAGTGAATAGCCAAAAGTAGAAAAGCAATTCGAGTTCCACTATAAAAATTAAAAAATAACTTACAGTATAGTAATATTTTTTAATACTTAAGTATCTTTATAAAGAAGAAGCATAACAGATATATCTAAATCAGGGCTAAAATTCTAAACCAAAATACCAAAAGTTTTCTAAAAATATAAAACAAAACATAAAGTTTTTTTTTTTCCAAAACCACCTTTTTAAATTTGTGATAAGATTGAAGTTTTTTTTTTTTTCTTTCCCATTAACAAAGATAGAACTTTAAAACAAGATAGAATTGTTAAATATTAAAAGAGTGAGATAGAATTCTTATTTGTATCAATACATCTGATTCTAACAATTCAATATAACATCTAACAATGCAAAATAACATTTAACAATGCAATAATTATATTCAGTGACCTATTTATTGACGTATATACTATGTCAATTTCAACACCAGAATACCGGTTTGGAGGCCATATTAACCTGCCCAAACTACAACATGCTGTAGTTAAAAAAATACTTCTCTTTCAGTAGTATTAAATAAAGTATAATTAAACGTATTTTAAAATTTTATAAGCAGAAGATTATATAAAAAGATTATAATTAAATCTATTTAAAAAAACACCAGAGTGAGTCCTTTGACAAGTAAATGTTATTAAAGTTTTTATTTTTTTAAAAGAGAGCTTATGGTTTAGAACAGGATGCCTGCCTTATAATAAGCTTTTAAAATGTCTAAAGCTCTTGTCTTTTGCATCTAACACATAAACTGTTACTGCAGTTAACAAATCAGCAGTAGAAGAATCAAAATCTGTATTGATTGACAGAATATTTTATTAGACTAATGATTTTGTTAATTAAAGACCTTGTAGTTGAAGTAAAAAAGTAACAATATTTGAAAATAATTGTTAGAGAATTTTTTTTTTTAAATAGGAGAGATAATAATGTGAGAGATGAAATATTAGACTTGCCATTGATAGTGGCACTATTAAAGACTTTTTATCATTAAAGCCTAACTTCAGAAATAAAATAAAAGATTTAATATTTTGAAAAATGGTCCTTTAGCATTACACAATACCTTTTTTGCATTAATTTCTCCAACCGTAAAAGTACTTTTAAAAATGTTTGTTCTCAGTTGAGTAGAAAAGATGAATTAAAAAGGTGAAAAATTACAAATATCAGCTGCACAAAAGGTAACCATTGGGCAACCATGCGCTAAGAGTAACCAAAGACTTGAATTGAAACCATCGAGAAGAAATAAGTTTTCATTCCAGCCTGAATACAAATCTCAATTCAATTTCTAATAAAAAGTCAGCCTTATTAGTTTACTACTAATGCTGATAACTAGGTTAATAAGGTAACTAAAAAACAAACAAAAAAAACCTCATTATGTAAGCTGCAGAAATAAATGCAAGGTAGAGACAGTAAATAGGAACTTTCTCTTTGACATCTTCTTTTTTCACTTTCATAAAGTATAATTCAGGAAAGCAGTGTAACCAGTATGCAATTTGGAGAATGAAGTAAAACTTGTTCATAAAACTAAAAAATATTAAATATATTAGTGATTAATAAAACTTATAACAAAAACAATAAATATAAAAAATTAAATATTTTTTAGAAAAACCTCATTTCTTGAGCAGGATAATTTTCCCAAA